TCAAACAAACTGACAATCAAAACCCTCTAAAATAATAATATACAGTAACTCAGTTTGGTCACTATACACATTCCTGTGCAATAATTTCTGTCTTGTCTGTCTGAAGGAAGTTCACATTGGCAAGAAAAAGTGTGTGAAACCATTAGAATAACCTGGTTTGTGATGAAATGTGATCTGATCTTCATCTAAGTCTAATGTCAACAAACACAGTGTTTCTGAGTTAATATCACACAGGCAATTATAATCTTTTGTGTCTTTATTGAGCACATTTATATTCTGTAGTATATTTTACTTGATGTTTAGGTCATTGTTTCTGCTACATCACCTAACTAAACATTTTCTCAGCAGTGCTGTGGAGAGTCAAGAGAGCTCTCTGAGAGCAGGAAAGCCGCTGCTTAATTGGGTGACTCTGTAACCCTTTTCAGCTTTTATGCAAATCCACAAAAGTTGATTCTAAATCTTCTTCTGTGCTCTCTTTTGCAAGGCCTGGTTCACATCAGCAGATGTTTCTTGTAAGTTCTTGAATAGCAAACATATACAAAGTGTTTTGTAAACATCAAAGTGTGCTCTAACCCACACCTCCGATCTCCAGTTTTGCCAGGTTTGATAACTCCTGATTCCAATTAGCTTCTGTTGCTGCCACTCACATACTGTCTCCAGGCTACACAGTGGATGTTTAGTTGATGTTTTCAATGTGGACAAGAACAATAGATCTGTGTGTCGCTAATAATAATAATAATAATAATAATAATATAGAGTGTGTTTGTTCATAATTGTAACTTGGATGAAGATCTCACCACATTTCAAGAAGAATTTATGCAGAAATGGAGGGCAATTTAAAAGTGTTTTTTCTTTTTCCTTCCACTGTAAATGTTACGTTAAACGTAGGTTGGAGTCAAGGAAATCTAACACTTGATGCAGAGGCAGGAGTGTTACAGATAGGCAGAGCGAGGTGTGTGTTGGGACTTTACCTCGATCTCAAGCTCTGAGATCTGTTGCTGGAGTTCCGCCATAGCAGCAATGTTGTCAGCTTCCCTCAGCCTCACTGCCATCACCTCTTCCTTACTCTACAGAAAAACAAACCAGACAAAGCTCTCAGGCAACAGCAAAAGGAGCTGAAGATGACATTTCAACAACGGCCCCTAGAGAAGCTGAATGGCCAGTGTAAAATCATGTATTGTAAAACATATGTGTATTTTCTATTTCTGGATGAGTGAATCTTGCGGAGGGAAATTCCTGAGAGGTGGGGAGAGTTAAGGTGTTCAACAGAAATCTACCAGCATCAGCAATGAGGTATTATCACAAGTTGCTTCCTCCTTCTGGATCTGGAGACTGACTCATTAGGAGACTACAAGACCACATTTTATCACATCAAAAGTTTTTACATCTAAATATGAGTCAGAGGAGAAGACGTCTGACAATTTGATCTTATTTTTCTAAATAAATATGACTACGCCACAACAGAGCTGTAGTGGTTTGCCTCGGTGCTCATAATGTGTACTGTAGATTAGCAGCATGACGTGCACATGTACCTTGCATTCAATCTCAGCTTGTCTCCGCTTAATCTCTTGCAGTTGCACATGCAGATCTTTGTTTTGCACCGTCAGTGTTTGCACGCGCTGTTGGAGACTGCGACCCTCTTGCTCCGCTCGTCGCAGATGGTTGCTGTGAATCTGACTCTGTGTGAGCAAAGACGTTACGTTTAAAAAAAGACTGAATGATTTATATTTATTTATTTAACCTTGACATTTCCAAAAATTTTCACATATATCGAAACACAAAAGTGATGATTGGTGACGGCGCAGCTTCACACTTTTCTTTCTGAACTGTTTGGCAGATGACTGCTGCCACCTGAAGGCCACTGTGTGACAATACAGGTGGAGAAGTCACTCCTTTAGACATCCTGCACATCCACCTTAATTGATGTGTCCATACTCAATATACCTTTAATCTTCTATGACTGATTGCATTACGAGGGAGGGTCAAATGAGCTTGATCAGGTTAATGTGACCTCTGACCTGTGTCTCCAGCTCCAGAATCCGCTGCCGTGATTCTCTCAGCTCTGCCTGGGCCTCGGCCTCCCGCAGCCTCACAGTCATCAGCTCGTCCTGTAGCTCACTCAAGGCGTTCTTCTTGGGACTGTCCTTCCAGCGACCAGTGGTGCGTGCCAAGTGACGCTGAGGAGACGTGTTGGTCAATTCAAGTCAGTTTTTTATTTCTATAGCATCAAATCACAACCGAAGTCATCTCAGGGCACTTTTCATATAGAGCAGGTCTAGACTGTACTCTCTATAATATTATTTACAGAGAATGAACAATTCCCACCATCACTCGTTAAATGAACAGATTGCTCTAAAAACTTCCCTTTTTTCCTTTTGCATTTCACAAAATGAAAAAAAAAAAAAAAAAAAAAAGTCAGACAAAAACCGGGTACTGAAACTGTGTTGTGCTCTGAAATGTTGGCGCTCACCTGCCAGTGCTCTTCCAGGTCTCTGACCTGCTGTCTCAGCTCTTTCAGGCCAGTCAGAGCTTCTGCTTCCCTTAGCTTCACCCCAATCAGCTCCTCTTGTAGTCGTGCCACATTGGTGTCATCTGGTAGCGACGTGTTCCTCTGAGGAAGGCGTGTTGAGAAAGGTGTGTTTTAAAACTCTACAGTGATGGAGCCATTTCACATAATGATACTGCGCGCTGGCTGAGATTAAAGCAGTGCAGTGTCTAAGGCAACTCACCTTTTCCATATCAAGGATCTTGTCTTGCATCTCCTTGAGCGCACACTGGGACTCTGCCTCCTTCAGTCGGGCCTGCACAAGCTCTCTCTCCAGCTGCAGGACAGACTCCTCAGAGTAGCGAGGGGCTCCCTTCTATAATCAATGGGACAGGTGAGTGAGCAGAGACAGCGCAGCAGGACAACAAATATCGAAACCTGTGCAACCACAATGTTGGCATTTAATGAAAAACAAAACATTCAACCTCGTCTAATGTAAACCCAACGTCCCAAAATTATTACAGTCCATTAAACGTGTGTATGTATGTGGTAGAAATACACAATACAACGCAATCACACACAAAGAATTCAGCTGGTATCAACCATTTTGTCTTTCACCTTCACATAAATAATTCATGACAGCTCAGTGTTAAGCAAGACAGCAAATTATGTAAAACATGGTAATGCCTGCACATTACCATCTGGAATCCAACCATCAATAATTAAGAATGCTAGGTCAAGAGATATGTGATGTGAACAGGATGCCAAGTGTGAAATCTACCAGCCTGTGAGGCAACTGCTTACAAATTCATCCACGACTGTAAATGGCGGCTGAACTGCCTAGCGCTCCGTGTCCCAATTTGAATTCATGCATGCCAAAACATATCATTACCCAAAGCCGATGTGCTAAGTGAGAAAAGCTCTCGTCAGCCACTGCTTGGATTTTGTTGCTAGGCAATATGTGCCAGCACTGCAGGGGAGACAGATAACCGTGACACATCCGAAACTCTGGTGAAAACATGTTCTTACTGGTCCGGCTGTCGGTGCACCACATAATTGTAAAATGGTCAACCTGGGGTTTTATGGCACTGCACATCACAAACTGATCTGGGAAACATCCCAGTCTGAATGTCGCTGCTCTTGTCACAGACTAGGCAGGATCTGAGGATAAGCCTTGGCTGTTATCACCACTGCAACCTGCCAACTGGGGACTCTGTGGCCCTCCTTACCGCTTGTGGCTGCTGCTGCTGCTGCAGCTGCATGATGGTTTTCTTGGCTTGCTCCAGCTGAGCACTGGCCTCCTCGCTCTGCTGTTTGACTGTGGCCAGCTCCCGCTTGACCAGGTAGTTCTCCTCTGCCTCCTGAGCTCGAGTCACTTGTCCCTTGGGACATAACCAACCAAGGAGGGAGTGAAGTGAGCATGGAAAGAAGTGAAACGAGTGGGCGGAGTGGGTGGGCAAATCAGAGAAGATGAAGGATTGGATTTTGTAAGGACATGCTTGTTTTAAATCTAGTAGTGTGTGATTTGGATTCATTAGCTTTCTTCAGAATGATCTCTGAGTCTCTTACTTCGTCTGACATGCCACAATGTGGTATCACATGCACATATTCAAAGCTGTTATCAGCTATTATAATCTGGTTTAGTTCTTAATTCAGATAATCATTAGAATTAATTAGATTTTTACTGTGTCCTTCATTGTGCTAACCATAAGCATGCAATGCTAAGAGAGGTAGAAAGAAGAGGGAAGGTGCAACAAAAGTAATAAAGGCAAAGAGAAAATGAGGAATATACCTGGATCAATCTATCTGCCAAGGAAGCACTTTCCTACAAAACAGAAATATCAACAAGAGACAGTAGAGAGAAAGAGACAATCCAGAGGACAGATTAAAGCACACAAAAGAACATTTGATTGTTTTAGAGAAGAAATGCAATGTTCATTTTCCCTCTTGAAATATTTGTTTACAGACTGCAGGATGATGTTTTCATTCAGGGGTAGAAAAGGAACATTGCATGCAGGTGTGGTGAAAAAGGTGCAAATGAGCTCGTGGCAAAGTGAAGAATGAGGCGGTGCTGACAACACAGTGAAAGGTTTCAGACAGGAAACAAGGACAGCTCTAGTTCAAGTTGAAAGTGAAGTCTGGTAAAACAGCAGCACATTAACAGTGTTAGGGAGCTACGTGCTGTTTAACTGAACAGAAGCGCGGGGCTTTGATGTGGTTCATCCAAGCTTTTGAACGATTTCGGTTAGTGAAGAGTTAAAAGGGTCCTGGGAGTTAAGTGACAGAGTCACATCAGAGAGCAGCAGCCTCAAGCTGGTTTTAAATAATGGACTCGTTTAGACCACAGTGTTCCTCCCTGTAGACAAACGCAGTGCAGCAGACATCTTGCTATCCATGGCAGACCTCATGCATGGTGCCTTTACCTGGCAGCAGTAGGGCCCATTCAAAGAGACACAAAAGGTGCAGAATGATACAAACAGTGCAATTGGCATGCAGTGCTTTGTATCGACTTGAACAGCATCAAGCTGCCACTTTCACATTGCAGACAGGCTTGTTAACAGTCTTTGTTTCAGTTAGTGGTGTCTGGTGAATTTTAAATTTCTCTACATGAAGTTATTCAAGCCACCCAGAACGTCACCATGACACCAAGACAACTTCAAGTACAAATCCAGCTCCTGTTTCTGATAGTAACTTCGTCTACAATCAGAAAATTCACCGTACCAGTCAACAATGGTTTAACATGTAAACTTTCAGCTAACACAGCCCAGTTAGTGAAAGACAAGAGTCCATCATTAAGAGGAGATGCATGATGTATGAGCATACACAGCTGAATGGGTTAATGTAATGTGGATGATGTTGATGAGCAGGGAGCGGTGTGACATTGGTTTGTCTGGTGACGGAGCACCTGTGACAAACACCGACGCACTCACTTTCTCTAGTGTGTCTATCCTCTGCTTCAGGAGCCTGTTCTCTGTCCGCAGCCTCTGCACAACAAGGAATTGCAAAATCATGTTAGCATAACACATCATGATAATAGGTCTGTGTCATAGTTCACACATAATCAGCGATCTCCATTCACCTTGATCTCCACCTGCTCTTCCATCTCTTTAGTTTTGATTGTAGTGTATTCTTTCTCTAACCTGAAAAAAAAAAAAAATGAACAGAATCGTTGAAGACAACATCAGTGTCGCTCATCAAATCAGAAGACCCTAATAAAAGTTGTTTACTGTGGGCTGAGGTACTGAAAAAAACAACAGTAATAAAAACAGAGATGAGAAGTTATGAAATCTGTAAATTTGTTTCACATGCTTGCCGATATTCTATTTAAACATAAAAACATAAGGAAACACTTGAACTTAAGTTATTTTAAAGACATTTCTTGGAAAGACCTCTATAATCATGTATAAATTGAATGGAAAATAAAAGCAGAGCTCAATTGATTAACTTCCTCTCAAAATTGGAAAAAAAACTTTTATTTTTCCAATTATCCTATAATAATTAGCACCAAATTCATAGTTCATTTTATTAGAAAATTACAGATTAATAAAATAAACCGTTACCAATCAAAAAAAATTCTAAACATTATATTAGAAATAATGAGATAACAAATAGGTCTTGTGGCCTTAATTAACAATTACAGTATCTGTAAAATACGACAAAGCCAAGCAGGCGGAAAACTTCTGCATCTAAAAGACTAATTTTCAGTTTCATTGGAATGGGTTTCCATATAATTCATTGCGGTCATGGCTGAAAATTTAGTAAAGTTACAATTACAGAGTTTCCAAAGTTTATAGGAGTTTATAAAGTAAATGACGGAACATGAACAATAAAAGATTTGTGAGTTGCAGTGAGATGAGACATCAGAATGTGAACAAATGAATGCATGAACAAAAAAAGGGAGAGTGTTATGTGTTGATTACATGACAGCTGTGCTTACTTTTTCATCTTCTTGGCATTGTACTTGACTTGGTAGGCAGCCTGGATGACCTTATCTGGTCCACTGTCAAACTGGTGTGGGATGACTTTCTGAAAGTGCTGGAGCACAGTAGAGAAAAGGAGGCAGGATAAGTTCCACACACCCATAATAAACACACACACACACACACACACGTAAATACACACATACATACACCCAGCGACTTTAAAACAGCTGTGTGCACTCGAGGCAGGTGTTTCTCTGACCACAAAGCACTTTTTCAAATGTCAGCATGTGCACAGGTACAACTTGGGAGGATACATGTATCAATTAACTGGGTGTGGTGCAGGTTCCTCCCTCGAGGGCGCTGCACATTTTGCACCAGAAATCTGAGCCGCTTGAAGGGCAAGTTATGTGAAGGTTATGCTGATATATACCTGTAACATTCCCTCCATGTCGAGCTGGATGAGTTCAGTCTGATTCATCTGAAGGATGGCAAGTCCCACACGGAAAACTATCTCCAGACCCTGAGGAGAGAGATCACCAGTAATCACTGAGGAGTCAGCTTTACAAAGCGCTTCTGTGATGGTCAGTGTGTGTGAAATGGGTTTTTAAATGGACTGAGAATTGAAAATGTGTTACAACAGGTCTCTTGGGAGTGCTGAAACAACTCACAGTGACTATTAAACCTGAACTGAAGTGTTTCCGTTCTCTCCAGCAGGTGGCGCTAATGGATAACCTATTCATGACAGTCAACTTCCATTTCAGTTGTACTTTATACTGTATGTAGTCATTCTTTAAGCTGTAGAATAGATATTAACCTTACAGCTTTTCTAAGTGAAAATCATTAATGTGGGAGTTCTTCCTTCCTCCTTTATAGACAGTTTGGCTGAGGCTATTCGCCACAGTGACATTCAGTAAATGTCACAGAAACAAGCAAAAGTAAAAAAAATTGTAAGAGCTAAATAGAGTCATGACATGAGAGTGTTTCCTGTAGAGATCGAACACAGGAGTATGATGCAAACTAAATTAATAGAATGACAAATACACAAATATATCTTCTTTTTTTTTTTTTTAATAGACTGTCACATGAAAGTAGACGCAGGGTATCATTCAAGGCAGGTGATTGTCCCTGAGAACAGCCACGGTTCCTTTTAACTGACCTCACACATGAAGATATCAAAGATTCTTGTGGCGACGGGCAGAGGGTAGGAGGTGAGGAAGATGGTGAGGAACCACGAAGAGGCATACATGGAGGTGTGAAAGCTCTGAGCCTGGAAATGCATGTGCAGCTCAGGCAGTTGCTCCTGTGAGGGGAAAATCATTCACGCCATTACTACCGTACATGACAACTCTTAAAATACCTCCCAGCAACCTTTCACTACAGAGTGTGAGGTGTCTACCTGGATCATGCACTCAAACTGGTACATGCAGAGTCCCAGCTCAGCCATACTGGGTTTGAAGAGCTCTCGTAATCTGTAGTCTTGCATCAACTTGACAAACACACAGAAAGCCTCTTCCTCAGGCATCTGGAAAAAATAACAGCAACCTCAAAATCTGTCTTGTTGTTCAGTGACACATGTCCAAGTATTTGCTTTGGAAGCTGGTGAATCAGTGTGTTTGTGTACATGCGGTGAAGATGGATTATTACCTGCATGAGTAGCAGTCCCACAATGAATGCACTTCCTTGACAATAGCCGACCTCACGGTCCACCAGAGAATAAGCCTGAGGTAAGAAGAATTAGCTCCGGATAAGTCTCAGTGACGGTCACAGGAGCACAAGGCTCCTTCACTTGCACTTTTTTTTTTACCAGTTACTGCTTTGATTATCAGTTTATCTGCATACAAGGAGGTTTCCTCAAGTCACAAATGGAGACTCACCTTCATGACATTGAAGAGCACTTCCTGGCCCAAGCTGTCCTTCTCCTTGAAGAACTCGTGTTCGGGATAAGTGCGGGCGATGTCTCGGCGAATCAGCTTCTCGCAGGGCGACGTCATCTTCAGGAGTTCAGAGTACTGATCCTTGATGGGCATATTTTGGGCATTGCACAACAGCTGCCACACTATTGCCCGAAAGTGGTGGGGAATCCCTTTTCTGACAAGATCCTATGGTAAAAGAAAAAAGATACTTTGTGAAAGTGATATTAATCTACCTGATCTTTGACGACATTGATGAGGGATTTAAACTGGGATTTGAGGGTGGTCTTCGTTCCTTTCTGAAAGTAAGACAACGCGGATAAGACAGTGTAAAAGTGTAAGAAAACAGATCAGCCTCATGTGGAGGCAAAGGGCAACACTTGTATTTCTTACAGGAGGACAGAGTCATGGGCATGCTTTGCCCTCTAGTACTTATTTTCTCATTTTAACACAGCGTGCATCTCATCATGATATGATTTCCACTGCCAAATACAACCTTGTCGGTGAGGCACTTGGTACTGTGATTTGTTTCCATATATTTCTGCTGATACAATTTGATTAAGCAACTTCCTGTGCTGACAGGGAACACTGGTCTTTCCTGCTGTGATGGGAGTGTGCATAACTGCGTGTGAGTGAGTGAGTGTGAGAGAGAGAGAGACTGTGTGTGTGTGTGTGTGTGTGTGTGTGTGCATGCATCTGGTCAGTCCAGGGTGCATCTGGAGCAGAGGTCCACCCACACAGGCTTTCAGCAGGGGATCCCCCTCCCTCTCAGAGGTTAGACAAGACAAACCGAGCTTTGTGCTGGAACAATACACTGTCTCATATCTCGACCATTTGTGAAGGAAAGCTGCTTTCTTCCTTTTTTAAAGTGTGTATTATAAATCTAATGTTTAATCAGACATTCACTAAACTACTTAGATTTCTCTTAAACAGTAGTAGGTCTTAATGAAATACGAAGTACTGAAAACATGAACACATCAGTGGTTTTGCTGACAAGCAAAGAAGGTTCCTTCCTTCATGCAACAGAAACCGGGTTTCTCTATAAACCAATGGGAAGAAAACATCAAATCTGCGAAGGCCTCCGCGGTTATGATTAATATTCCAGGCTGGTTGCACCCATCTGTTATTTACTACTTCTGTTAAATTACATAGTAACACCCATGCATGTTCACTGGTCCTTCGCAACACTTCCCCATTTACACACGCAGGGACAAGGAACAGGTTCATGAGACAGCAATTCCATGTCCACACATGTTTTTGTATGTGCATGGATCACAAACAATGGGCTTAAAAGGAAGAGTAAGTGATTCTAATATAATACACTCTTTGTCAAATCCAGAGCGAATCTGCTTCTGTGCTGTATAATCTGGATTCCACCATTGGGTTGTTGCTTTGGCAAGGTGCGTCCATGAATTTGGGGGCCAGAGCTTCTACAGGAGCACTGAAGGGAGGGGGGTATTTGTTTTGCTGTTGAGTTCAAATATCAACAGTCTCTTGCATATTCTGCTTTTAAAGAGTGACAGACTATGAGAAAACATAATTACAGGTGCTCAGGATGCTGCTGGACTGCAATTTAAAAGCTGAAAAATGAATGGACCAAATAGATGCTTCCTGTTTTAGTGCAGCGGTTTGAGGCAATCGGGTAGCATGGCGTTAATGAGCTAGCCAACCAAATCCTGATATCAATCCCACTGAACATCTTTGCAATGAACTATAATGCAGCGGCAGTAGAAAGCTTTCAAACAAGCGGCTGAACATCAGGAAACTACAGGTTCCCTGCTGAGTCACTGCCATGACTTGTGGCTGTTATCAGGTTGTCCAACACAGCACTGGACAGGGTTTTATGGTTTTTCTGGGCACTGTGTTTACTCTAATTTCCACTGTGCATGTGCAGTTTAAATCAAACTACCACAGACAGTGACTGGGCATACGGTTATCACGAGACTTCTGAGAGTAACTGTAGAAACAAGGAACCTAAAATTAGCTTCAAATGTCAGGAACTAAAATAACAAGTCCGAGGACAACACCACAGGGTCACTTAGGACAAAGATAGCCTTAGCAATTATTTCTGGACCAAGTAAACATTCAAACAGATATGGGCATTGTAGCATTCAAGCCAGAGCTTGAAACATGTGTGTCACAAGAAAGACAGATTGTATCTTTTACTATAAAGTTTCAAGCCATTTCACTGCAGAAACAGTATCATGGGAGCTCCTGTCTCTTTTCTTTGGGACCTGGAATAATGTTATTCTTATCAAATGGGCAACTATCATAGACACAGACAAAAATAAATGTCTAAAATTATAGCTCCACTGTCTTAACCTCCTCTTCAGCAGCCGGGTCAAATGTGTCTCAGTAAGCTCTTAATGCAGTCGTGTTTCAGTAAGCTCTTAAGCGTGTCTGCACAGGACTGTGCTGTCACTTCACAGGTAGTCATGTGCACTGGTCTCACCTTGAGCTGCTTCTCCTTCTTCTTGCGCACCTCCTCCCACTCATTGACAATTCGTCCCCAGAGAATCCACGAGTCCTCCTCCAGGTGGGAGAGGTTGGAAGAGGCGGAGGAGCTGGACACCAGGGAGGAGCCGCTGTTCCGCCTGGAGCCATTCATGGAGCGCAGCGACTTGCTGTCCGTCTCCAACAGCCTGTGGTCAAGTTAAGATGTTGGATGTATTGTTAACATTTCAAAATCTGTGTACAGACACAACAACATTTTTATTTCAAGGTCCACTACCAAGAAACCTTAGCGTCGAACACTTATCAAAATCTAATTCAGTCTCCTCTCATCTGACACTGATCAAGAATATGTAATTAAGAACTGACAGAAATAATAATATTTTAATCCTTGACAAAAAATTTTATAAAACTTATATGAATGTCTCGGTCAGACACAACTTCAGTAATGTTTCTTTACTAGCTTTCGCTCGAGTAACACATGTATGCTCGTGATACACAGTGTAAATTGTTTTTGACCTTTTACCAACTTCAACATACTGACTAAATATGTTGCAGTGCTATGGTCCGTGTTGGTGCTTTGAAATCTCATTATCAGCATAAATACAGGTCAAAATTCAACCAGTGCAAGAACAGGCAGGCTACATATTCTGCAGATCAGAACGCGTGTGCAGCTGCAACACAAGGCCAACGCAACAAAAAGAGTCCTCGTCAGAGCGTCATGTTGGCCTAGTGGTAAATACACAAAACTTATAACCAGAGATTTTGGCTGGTGATCATTGTTGCATTCTGCTGCATCTTGAATGCCAGACAAGCTATGATTTAGACAAACAGTGTTGAAATTCAAAGCCACCCAACCCTACAGTTTTATGACCGTAAAATAACCTGCTGCATAACAGTGACTGGCTGTCAGAGCCTGAGAATTAGCAGTCAATTAGCAAATAATTCCCCTCACCAGAAGAGTCTAAAAATTCACACCTGATTCAATAATTGGCCTGAGGCTGAATGAACAACACCATCAGCGGTAAAACCGTAGAACAGCTGGCCCAGTTATCAAGTGTTTATCAGCAGCCATCAGCTGTTATAGTGTGATCATAAGCTGCTACATTCTTAATTGATGCAAGCCCCCCAAAAATCCTCTTATTGAAATTGTCACAACAACTAGCAGGCTAATACCGACATTAAAAACAATACTGTTGTACTCAGACTGAAAGACTGTACAAAAGGAATATAAAAGCCTTTCTACTAAGAACGAGAGTTGGCACTCATTTAAATTCTACTGGCAGCTGCTTTAAGTGGACAAAAAAGCCTATCCAGTGGAGATCCAGTGGAGGTTAGTAAAATAGTTCCTCGCTCATTATGTCTATTTCACTGAGTGTTTTCATCCATGGTCAGCATAGGAAGCGGCTTGCTGGGGAAATGTGTTTTCCCAGCAGTTTAATCTTGCCCTCTATCACCCTTATCAGTTTGTCCCTGGGGTTGCTGACAGAGTGACCTGATCAAGGATCACTGTGCAGAGAAAAGAAGCAGCGACTCCCAACCTGTGCTGCAAAGAGGGGCTCGTGACAAGACACACAAAGGCCCAGACACCTGATCTCGGAAAAAGGCAGAGGCCTCTGCACTGGAGCCCGTGACGTCACAGCTCCTAGAATGGCTAGGGTTACAGCCAAATTTGGGTCGAGTGGGAGGGAGTATGACAGAAAGACTAGTCAGCAGGAGACCTTCTTCACTTGTATTTAGCTCTGACATGGAGCTAAAAAGTGAATAAAAGGTACATCTTTTAGCTAGAGTTTATCTGGAATTGTTGGTTTTTCAAGAATTTTTGTCAGCCCGTCACAACTGGTTATACACACTGCAATACCAGCCTGTGCTACACATGAACCTGAACATGCTTACAGCTCTGCTAATAATTCACTAGTAGTCAAACACAAATCTGAGGCTTGAAGAACACAAAATACAAAAAGACTGAAGTTAATTAGTTTTGATCAAAGAATGTAATTAAAACGAAAGTGAGAGTAAACTTTGAGCTAAAAGACAAAAAGCCAAATAATAAGAAGCACATTCTCTTTAAAGAGTGTGGCAGTTAAAACGTCATCATGACTTCAATTTGCAGTTCATTACAGCAGCATAATAAGCCATGAAATACTATAAACCTTACCAAGATAAACTCATGATGTACTCCTCATGTCTCTGGTTTCTACGAATTCTGGCGTGGTGGCATGTCTGATTTACAGATTGTAGCAGCGTTGGCCTTCCTCGTCTGTGTGACGCTACTCAATGCTTGTGCTTTTTATCTGCTCTGTAGGGTACAAAGGCCTCACCAAACACACAAACACCTGGCAAGCAAGTGCAGGATGCATCACAGTATCTGTAATACACACATGAATGCCATAGTTCCTCCCTTCTGTTGTTGCACCTGTCCTGCAAACACCTTGATGACAAAACGATAAGATTTGTTTGGCGGTGATTAGTATGTTGCTACAGGGTGGTTTGAAAAGAAGAGACTGCATTGTCAGTCAGAAGCAAAGAGTGGAAGCAGAGAAATATGTCTAGTGAAAGGGCCCAGCTGTGTATTTACGTGTTGGGGTGGAGACAGGGGTCAAAGGGCAGATTAACTATGAGTCCCTTGACACTGTGACTTCTGTTCACCAGATGGGCATCTGCTCAGACCTTCATAAAGGATATTAGGGAGAAAATTAAAATTTTTTGCTGGTTCATTTTCATCCTCCCTATTGAGGAAAAACATCACAGCAAGTGTCACTTGGCATACTGGTGCAATGGCTGCTGTGGGCGTACCAATGAATCATTGACCTCTGCATTCAACAGAGCTTTGTTGTCCTCTTCACTGACGTTACCTTTGACAATCACAAACTCTGAGCCGCATGCTTGGTTTCCATGCTGACAGAGAGTGCACCAGCCATGGGTGAGAGGCGCAACAGAGGAAGAATTCACAAAGTTGGCAAGAGAGCAGTGCTGTGTCATCCTCTAACAGTACTTTAATCTGCACGTTGGGGCCAACACACCGTTTACTTCTCAATTTTTCCAACGGACTTTTAATTGATCCAGTATACAGATAACTCATCTACAACTAAGCTTGCTGTGATGTGAATCTTTGGTGCTGGTCTGGGGCCTGTAGCAAGAAGTAGGTTTACAAAGTTATCTGTTCAACTTTGATGAGGAACCTGCTCCAAAAAAAAAAAAAAAAAAACCTCCTATTGAAAATGCAGTACTTAGAGCCAGTTGTTGTTGTTGTTGTTTAACAGACATCGCCCATTACTGTTTAGCCAGAGGATGAGTCAGTCGCTACAGCCTTTAAATTAAAACTCAAAAACTTTGCATTTACGTGAGAAGAAAACAATGGAAAAAAACTGGCCAAATCCTCAAAGAACAAAACCTCCTCTTCTTTGCCAAACAGCTCGACACTGAAAGAACAAAATCTCCAGAACCCAACAAACGAGAGACGGTTACATTTTTTCCCATTATTATTTTACTTAATTAATTGGCATGTCACCATCTGTTGGACACCACTCATGTGTAAGGATGTGTGTGTGTGTGTGTGTGTGTGTGTGTGTGTGTGTGTGTGTGTGTGTGTGTGTGTGTGTGTGTGTGTGTGTGTGTGTGGATCAGGAGGGCGGTGACAGGGATGTCTGGGAGATGCAGTCAGAGTAGTGCAGGTGTGTAGAGGACACAAGGCAAGATCATAAGATAAACAATACTTCAAATGCTAACTTGAGAATTTGAATACAAATATAAACAAAAAATGACATTGGTGAAAAAATGTGTATTGTGCTAGCATGTTAATAATCCTTTCAGTAGTAAGTATATAATATAATCAATAATCAAATCAACTAATAGCTCATGAGAATATAGCTGCAGCCTGCGCAACACTGCAGCAACAACTGTACTTCCTGAGGAAGTTTAACTTGTTTGGGGGGTGTAGGAAGCTAATGACACCCTGCAACTTTATCATATTTCTGAGCATGGCAAACTGTCGAGAGCTGACTAGAACAAGCTGCACAGCATGATGAGTGTCCAGTTATATCTTAGGTCCTAACATTTTTAAGCAGGAGGGTGAGTATTAATCCCTCCAATCCTCCTTATGTACAATCTGAGCTTCTTCCCTCTGAACCACTACAGGTCAAGTCAAACAGGGTCAAACTGTTTCTCATCTGTAAGAAGAGTTTCCCTTAAGGAGCAATTAAGTCAAAAGTTCATAAATATTGTTTTCTGACATTATGTTCATAAAAAAAAACCCAAAAAAACATTTAGTCACAAGCAAACTCACACTATTGTTGGGTGAAACACAACAGCGGAGCCAGCCCTATAAACGTGAATGTCTGTCGCTGACTGAGTGATGAAGTTACACCAGGGGTCAGTCGAATTTCTGATTCTGATTCCTGATTCTGAATGCAGTGTGACTTGAGTGCTGAGGTTACACCACTGGTTGGCCGGCCAAGTGGTGGGAGTTTCCCCATTGGCTGCTCTTTCAAAAATGAATATGTGTGAACAGTTTCTATTATGTCATTTGGGGTGGGGGGCTATTTTAGATATTTTCCGTAGAAGAGAGTGGGCAGTTCTGCCCCGTGAACGCAAGGTCGGTCTTTCCCTCAGCAGGCACACTTCTCTTTGCCTTTCATTCACTTGACTGCACGGCAGCTGACAAAGACGTGAATGAACTTCCAACTTTCCCTCCGAGTGATCATTTAACAAAAAAAGCCGAAATCACAACACGGCCGTTCTTTAAAGCCGGGGTAGCCACTCACTTTTTGGCATCAATGGGCAAAAAAATCCATAATCACCTTTCAACTTATTGTGATTCAAATGGTTTGAGAGCAAATTGTGCGTGTGCACGTCCCTTCAGACGTGTCGATATCAGTGAAGCGTTTCAGAGATGGAGAGAGAACTTACTGTACGGGACAGGAAACAGGCTGCTAACTTCATTTTCTCCATTTCTCATTTTTCCATTGAAAGTTGTTGCTTACAGCAGTTCCACAAGTTTTAAACTACATCCTCAATTTCACACATTGACCATACACAGTCCAGCCATATGCTAAGTGCTGACCTAGTCTTGATGTTCAACGTGTCTGCTAACCAGGGCAGACTCAAATATTTCACAATATGGATCATCTATATTGTGAAATATTTGAGTCTGCCCTGGTTAGCGACCAGAAGAAATAATCTACACTCACATATATTGTGGACTTATTGTGCATTTGTAATGTTTCTATCAATCCAAAAAACAGCTCTTTTAATGGTTTTCCAATAAGTCAGATGATATTCTCTATTCCAGTGTAACAGTACACATGGTATCGAAAATCTGCCTCTACTGTCTGTAAACATTGTTAAAGTTGATGGGCAGAAGAGCCTTTTGTCACAGACTGCTTACCTGTTCTGCTCCTCGAGCTTGGCAAGCAGTTCCACATCATCAGGACTGAGCTGCCCCGGCGAGGACGGTGAGAGAGCAGGCGAGGACAAAGACGTAGAGGAAGAGGTAGCAGTGGTCTGCAGGGATGTGGGCGTGGCCACCTGGCTAGCCATCTGACTGACCGTGTGGGACACCGAGTTCTTCACCCATGAGAGAGTAGAACTCAGCTTACCAGCAACTTTGTCTGTCGCCACCTGCAGAGGATGGAGAATACCTCTTAATTCAGTACACTCATGCGTGAACGGGTGTCGAATTTGAAGGGTTTCCCTCAAGACGGTACTAAGATATCAAGCTCATGAGAATGGGACGGACGGACTACCCGAAAACATAATGTCTCCAGCCACAGCTCTTGCCAGTGCGGAGGTGTAAAAAGTTCCACCATCTTTATCTATCAGCTACTGAACATCATTATATCCCAACACTGGAGCGACATTATCAGTTTTGATGATCTGCACCAGTCACACACTGCCAGCAGACAGTATCGACTGGAGTGATAAAACTAGTAACTCTTCAAACTTTGTTTGCGTCTGATACTACGACCAATCCTTTAAATGATTTAGATCATTATCCAGTAAAGCATGCTGAGTAAAGACTGAATTACAATTATTAATTAATTAAATCCATTTAAAAAGTAAAATGCTCTGTGCAGGTATTTTTTAATGACATGAACGACACATTTCTTTAACCGCAACTTTTAAGAAAATACTACAGAATTACAGCCCAATGTTTTCTATCAAATCATATGTAAACTTTAAATTACATTGAGGGAGAGCTTCTTGTGCACAACATACCGCAACACATCAAAACATCACAAATGAACAGTGCATTGTGTTACAATGTAATAATAACTTGCTAGTGTTAACTGACACACACGGTCTTTAAAGTCTATACTATATGACACTAATAGCATGAAGAATGAGTAACACATAGTCTGTGCTCAGTAACAGTCAGTTTCATCATCATAATTAAATATCATATCACTAAATACCTGTCGCATAAAATAATGATGGATTTTTTGTTTCTAAATAAGAAAAATTCAAAAACTATCCACCTACTACCTGCCTAAAAAGATACCGGCAGGAAATCTTTCATACCTTCCTACCTGTTAATCCAAATAGTCCAAACTCTTTGGCTTTCAGATGCCAACATAATCCATGAGGAAATCTGGTTCGTATTCATTAAGAGAACTGCTTTAAAAATCCATGAAGTTTAAATGTAAGTAAGACTTGACTGAAAGAAATCCACTATTCTGAACCTTTGACCGATTTAATGACACACTGCTGTGTAGTCATATGCTGATCATACTGTCAGGAGCGGTCAAAGTGCTCCAACAAAAGATAGGCCTTCTTTAAGACTCCTGCTGAGATCAGTATACAACAGGAAGCGTAGCTCTTTAGTCAGCACAAAGAAATTCACTTCACACCTTAGAAAAAACACAATTAGTCTTGCCTTTCGTTCCAGCAGGAAGTCTGGATACTGCAACCAGGCAGGAAACCAATCATTTCATGCAACTTACTCCGTATAAAAATGATGACTCATTTTTCTGTATACATCAGGTCTACAGAGGGCTGAAGACATAAATGAAAAGGAGAGAAGAACAAAAGGAGGTGGAGGAAAAGACTGTGGTAAATGTGGTGACAGGAATGTGTTATGGTTCAGACTGAAAATATGCTAACTAAGCTTTTCTTTTGCTCTCCTGTACACAGACAGAAACACCGACAGTGCTTTCACACATGCACTGCAACCGTGAATTTATCTAGACATTACCTGGAGGAGCTGTATGTGGGAGCGCAAATATCTGAATCGGTGGGACAGGACATTAAACGGACTTTACACTGCTCCCTAGTAAAAAAGTCCATGTAATGTCCAATTGAGCTGTTGTGCAAGTAGAGAAAGTCACTGTCCGGAGAATTCACAGAAAGTGTGCGTGTTGATGATGATGTGTCTATCATTTCTCCCTACACGCTCTACACCCAGACACCACCCCTCGCCTAAACCAAAGGGAGTATTCCCAGTGTGGAAACCCCCTGTTGTGTGCTACATGTGTGAAAGTGGCTTTAGTGACTTTATTGTTACCACGAAACACAGAGATGGACTATAATTCAACTTTATAGTTAAGTTTCTTTAATAACATCATGCGTGTCGGACACCCATGATTAAAACCAAATGTTGCCTAAAATCTCAACCGGTACACAGTTTTATTACAGCTTGTATTACAGACTGAGTTCACTGCAATGAACATAGGTTAACAAAGATAAATCATCCTGCGGTGACGGGGTCCGAACAATATTTTCTTGTGATCACAAAGCAAAATTAACAAAATCTTCATCCTATAGATTCCCCAGGGTGACTGCATTAGATTAACGTGGCTGGATGATGTCATGACACCTAGCCTATTGAAGGCAACGTACACCTTACAACAAAAACACAATAAGTGCACCAGCACAAATACATGTACATTTATGTAAAAATAAAAACCTCCTTTGCAAATGTATCAAATTTTAATGAGTCTCTCTTAATCAATAATTATATTGTTTAATGTACAAACAATTTAAAATAAGAAAAGGCAGTGAAGGTTTGGCTGGGCAGAGCGTAAGTGTCTTGTGGGATTTTATTGTGTATTCTTGCACAGCAGATTTCTCACACACACAGCTGAAGATTACAGTTCCCGTTTGATTTCCCATTCCCATGCAGACCACTCTCATATGGGAAAATACTTTCATTTTCTCCAATAACCAAGTACATCACAACGCTCACCCAAATAAGTAGATCTGAAAATGCAGGGTTACATGTACAAACTAACCATTAACATAAATAACAGGATTCCCACCAGTAATAGACATATCCTGCATAAACAAAACTGTCTAATGGCTGGGTGTGATGCAAACTCTTGCTCATTCAGATGTTTGTCAGCACATTTTTGCAACCTAACATCCAGCAATGTAGATCTTACAGCCCAATTAACTAATCCATTCAATGAGTGTATATCACAAAGGCTTGACAAACAATGATATGTTCAGTGAGGAAACAATCAGCTATGTAACTAATATGTGAACACTTACAAAAACAGTTGATCCTGAAAAAGTGCACTCCCCAATTTAAATCTTACATACTCTTTTTGCACCACTGACTCAGGCTAGCTTTGTGTATGTGCTCTTCCCCTTTGAAAGCAAAAAAGTGAATGTAAAGGCATGAGGTTTCTTCAAAAACTGACTCCCAATGCAGGATACCATGCAGAACTAACCGGGGAGAGTAAAGAGGTCCATGTGGACTGAACACTGTGGGTTGCCAAGTGTTTTAGGCCTGGACCTAGCCTTGTTTGTGATGATAAATATCAATAATTGTGAACCTTATTAGTTTATTTCCTTTATGTTAGAATAGGAAAGGAGTTCCAGTGTGCCTCATTGCCTTTGATTTTTTTAAGCCTGACTTAAATACGATCTGGATATAAAATTCAGGTAGCAAAATACAAGCTGGCTAAAAATTTAATCAACTCAGTCGGGACAGGGGAAGGCCTTGCTAAAAAAGATGCAAATGTCCAGGTGGCCTTCGTAGACACTGCTTCAAGCCAGCCCAGCCAAGTGAAGCGAGACTTCCCTATAAATCCTGGATACAGATTGTTTCTGCTTTTGTTTGCCAACGGACTCAAAGGGGCCCCGAGATGCAGTGCGCATAGATAATGAAACTCACAGCGAGGCAAGAAGAAAGCCTCAGCGAAACAACTTCAGGATGATTGGGGAACTGAGAAAGACCACAGGCAGAACAGAGAGGCGTTTCCGTTCCCCTAATTCAAAATGCAAAAACACCCACAGTGCTGTGGAGCAGGCAAAAAGACTCTCACAAACTTTTATGCTACGTCAAATATAAAACTACAAATTTCCATCAAAAAGATTTTTGCAGTCGCCATCCGAGTTGAAAATTAAGACAAATCTATCTCGACTTCTCTATTTTACTTGTCTTTTATGTGTTATTTCCAGGCAGTGAATCAGAACAAACTTGTCTGGCCCAGCGGGAGAGCGCATGGCCATCTTGGGGGAAACACACTGGCCATGAGCTGTGTGAGGGTATTAAAACACAGCCCTGACTTACAATAACACACTCACACTGAGGTAGAATGGCCTTTCACTTCACACACAGAGGGAAGCTCAGATTTTCCCAGTGTACAATCAGCATTTCAATGGTCTTGCTGAAGGCTATTCTTCATTATGCAGCCACATAATGAAAGCTACAAACACTGGCTAATATTTTACATTTGGGCCACAAACCCTGCACTGCAAAAAGTAGATCTATAGACATGAAGTAAATTAAATGTGATGGTTTCAACTTAATATCAATTAATAATGACGACACTTAAATCTGAATACATTACTGTATCAGTACTGGGACAGTAGTCCTACTGAGCCTTCTGTGAAAGTGTGTGTAATCTCCATTAGGGCATTTGGTCTTCCACCATCCCTGGTACGGCAGTGATATGTTGACAAAATGACTACCATTTGAACAACAGACCTTTTCACAGAAGATATTTTGATACTAGACTGCAGGAAAATTATTAATAATGGCTTCATTTGATTTATTTTCCACAGCCCCAGGGGTCTGTTAATGTGTATGGTAGTTCACTGGCAATGCTTAGCCACTTCAATGGAACAGAGCCATTGTTAATGTTATTAATGACATCTGTTGAAATGTCTCTTGTGGAAAAGGCTTATAGCTCTGATTTCTGAATTGATTTGATTTGGATGATGCATTGATATTTTCAGTATGACTAATACACTTTCAGTATTAGGGATGGTTGATATGGTCACTGAAAAAGAAAAACATAGTCATCTGAATGTAATGGTGGCACAAGATGTGACATTTTACCATTTATCTTAGTCATATAGAACATATCACTTCAGCAACATTAGAAAATTAATCGTATTCTGTGTGAATACAGAAATTCTGCCAAACTAAAGCTCACAAGGGTATGCCCATTTGTGGTACTATTGAAACTCACTCAGCTTAACGCCTGCCACAACAGCTCATTTTGGTACCTCAGCTGTTTCTTCTCACATATGGAATCATTTTAAAAGGAAGTCAGATAAATAACATAAAACACATTCGAATACTCTGCATCTCTAATTCACAGAAGATTTATTGTAGCTCTTTCATGTATGTTCCTCAACGTCTCCAGGCCTATGCTGAGACACGGGGTCAGAGTAAAGCTTGTGAAGCTTTTAGTCATAACTTCAACAAGTACCAACAAGTGCATCCTCTGACACGATCACCCCTAGACTCACAGATACAACTTACTGGCAAAAAAGTGAAGAGCTGTTCAGTGTTAATTACAGAAGTAACAGGTCATTTTAAATTTAGAAGTAACACTCACAATCTGTCACTAAACCAGCTAATTTAGGCACTGCGACTGACTGCACTAGCCACTTCTTAACAAAACGATGTATTTTTTATTTTATTTTAAAACGGAATACTTTTAGTCAAATGATAGGTTAATACTTTTAGTAGCACTAGTACTCTCCTTTAGCATTTCCATTTGGTGAAACTTACTTACAAGATGAGATTTTCTCCTCCACTGCTCTTATCTAAAAGATCTAATGTAAACAGAGCACAATAAGATTTTACACTTATGTTCTCATAAAATATAATATTTTATACGTTTTAGGTGAGCAATACAGCAATATAAAGACAATATAATATAAAGACATAAATACCCCACATGTAATTTCCCCAGGTTACTGAATGAGAGTACAGTATCAAGGCATGATCAACAAAAACCTACTGACCACCACAGCAACTCCGGGCCTACATTTTCCTTTTCTCTCTTAATAACCTTATCCTCACACACATTTTCCAGCCTGGTGTTGTCAACTGTGATAATTTCTGTCAGTGGAGTGAGCAGCACTTTTGTTATCTCGTTAAACTTTGCTGGGTTTATACTCCACTTATATCTGTGCTCGCGGAGCTGTTGCCGTTGCACCTTTAAAGTCACTTCTCCTGAGTTTTGAGTTTAAAGATATCCTTAGCTTGAACACGGACAATGCCACCGCTGAGCTGTTTAAAATCATCTGCTCAGGCCAAACAGAAAGATTTTAGTTTATATGCAATAAACAGAGGACGGGAGCGTTGAGACCACAGGAGAAGTTCCTATTCCTTTTATGGCTCGCTGGTGTCGTGAGCTGAAATGGAGATCCAGCATCAAATGCAACAGCGTGCAGTGTTATTTATTCCAGAAAGCTCCAACGTCGACGAGCTCGACGAAGCTGCCGTTGGCTTAAATAGCTAACGTTAAATAAACACGTTAAAACGACATTAGCGAGCAGGAAAAACGTCCAACCATCTATCAGCTAGTGTTTTTGTTCCAGGCAATAGCCGGAGCCCTTTGCAAACCAATTAAGGGCTCAACAGCAAGTATTTAACAAAAGTGATAACGCTGACGAACTGTAATGTTAGCTAATATTGCGACTAGCCATGTGTAGGGGTTCAGCAATAACACCCTTCTGCATTACTTAGATGTAATGTCACAACATGCACTTCGGAAGATACAGGGTGACAACTAGGGAGTCGTTTTATAAGTTAGTGTTCATTACAGTGATTAGACAGAGCCCGAAAAAAAAAACAAGAACCTTTTTTACCTTGAAGCGTTTTTAGCCAGCCGCTGCAAACGTCGCCTGCTTCCCATGCACGAAAGTGTAGTCCTACTCTTATGAGAAAAAGACTGGTTTTCAAACACTTTACCCGAGTGCATTAGCTAAAGTGGCCAAGATAGCCTAGCTAGGTTTTCCAGTTGAACGCTAGCCAGCGTTAAGTTAGCCTGCTCCCATTGACTCCTCGGTCCAGCCCATGCAGCCGTATAATACGTGTACACAAATGTCTGCAGAGCTCAGACAGTCGGCGGTGGCCTACCAAGTGTTTACATCGCACGGAGCATGCGCCGTCCGCCCACAGCTCCAACCTGGCACAACACTACCACCAAGTGTTCACGGTGAGCAACTGCATCCAAAGACCCTTTCATTCATTCAGAAAGAGGATGTATTTCTAAATAAAGAAAAAAAGAGGTGTTTGTGATAAGGTTAACAGTGGGGGGGGAAGTAGATTTGTTGGTTTTGAATATATGCAAAAAACTGAGACAAAATCTACTAAGTTGCTGTAACAAGAGTAATTTCCTCACCTGGAGGGGACAGTTTGGCATAAGTTATTGTGGTTATCAAGGGAGCATTTTGTCATGTCCCATCACTGACATTACTGCCTCAAGAGTGTCAATCACCTATCAGCACTGACAGAATGGCTTGTAATAACCCTTCCAGCAGCCCATAAACCAAACTGTGTGACCTCTCTATTGTTCATCCATTCATCAGTTCAACATAGATTGGATGACACTAATGAAATGGATAGATGGATAAATTTACACTATGCCACGGGGATGCAGGTATAAAAATATTACACAGTGACAACCTTACCTATTCAGACATAACATTATCTGAAACAAGACACATTCCTATTATCAAAAACTTCCCTGATATAGATTAAAAATGTTTTAAAGGTGAAAAGGTTTATTACCTCATTCCATTTATTCAATTATTCTACTCCATTTTGGCAGCACTCTCCAAAAAGGGGGTAGACCGTAGAGGACATGGTGTTAAGGAAACAGGAGTCGATGAAAGGGAGCATCTTACACACAGCCAAAATAAACGTATAAATTCTTTCAATAAGTGTATGATGAGATATCACCTCACTTTGTGACACTTTATCAGAGATATTACAGAGTCACCTAACAAAATTACAGGCCCTATAGTATGGTCTCTTTGTGTTTCAGCCCAGCGCATTATTAGTGCTTTGTTAAAGAAAAGAGCTTAAAGCTTCCTGTAGTGTGTGGTGTCTGATCAGTATCTGATCAGTAAGAGATCCTCAAAATGTCTTACCTGAAGTTCATCGCTGAGAGGAAAAATACTTCTGTTGGTGAAGACTGGAGGTTCAAACCCTTTAGACTCAGAACTATCTGCAGCTCTTTCAGTGGAGGTGTGTTGTCGTCTTGAAGAAACTGAAGATATCATGAATCAGTTTATGAAAACTGTATTCTTACGTTAGTTTTCACTAAACCAACCTATAAAGTTAAATAAATGCTGTATATAACAAAAAATAAGTTATTTGTAATTGACTAATCTAGCGTTCCCTGAGCGAGAGATGTCAACAGAAACTCACGATGAAGTGAAAATTCGACTAAGCAGACTGCCTTGATTCACATACCAAACAGTCATAAAACCTACTCTTCAGGTTTAACATGGGAGCAGTGACGCATATCTTTTGTCGGTTGTTGGACACTCCTCTATTCATAGAAGTAGATGAAAGCAGCTGACGTTGAAGGCTAGACTTGGCAACAGCACGGTGACTGTAGGCCTCTCAATCTGGTACACTGTCACAATAATCACATCTCAGTCATCAGACATAAATAATTAGAGAGCTATGAACACAGTCAAATACTTCTCAGTAATGATATAGTCCGTGAGGAAACAGTTGAATCACTCCTGCACTAAATTAAAATGGAACGAAAAAGAAAAATATTACAACTATAAAATGTCAAACTAGCTTTTTATAAAATCATTCATTCTAATCATTATCATTCATTCATTAATCATCATTACTCAGGTAACTGCTGCTCTGCTGGTATTGTTTGCAGTCACACTCATATCCCCAGATCATCCTACTATATGCACCTTTTAACCCAAGCTGATTAATGGTTAACTACTCTAGTTTTGATTCATAACTACATAAATAACCTCTGTTTGATGTATGAAGACATCGTGGGTGAAATATATCTTTATGTGTTGAACAGCATTTCAAGCTCCTCTCATGTGGTTTGAAAGGGCTTCAAGGACCCAGAGGCGGTAGATGTTTGTTTTCCAGAGGATAAATCACTTCACCTGATTTTAAAGGGTAGGTTTACCTTAATGGCAAATACACTTGCCCTCTATACTACCTAGCCATGCTGCTAGTTTTAATCTTATTTGCAAAGGTTTTACGATTGCATACTAAGACCTGCCACCACCCCGATACAATGGAGGTGAATTGAATTTCTTTGTGGTGCTACCATCATTGAAATCAGTTTGTCTTCACAAGAAAATGACAGTGGATCATCCAGAGGAACAAGGATGTTGTTTCCGGTAAGGGACATAACATAGGGTTTTCAACATGTTCTTTTTCAATGTTGTGAGTGCCACATATGAAACAGTGACATCAGAAAACATAGTGGCAGATTCTATCTTTAAACATCGCCGATGAAACTATCTGCCAGATACCGCTAGTAGCAGGTGGAAGAATTTATTTGTTTTGAATCGCATGAACTGATCTTTTAAGGAATGAAAATCAACAAGTAGCTGTAGTTGTAGTTGCCTATAAGATTTTGATTTTAGCTTTCAATTGTTGTTGTAACAACAACTCACAACTTAAAAACTAACACAACTAAAATGACTTAATCTGCAACTCAGTTAGGTATTGACTATAGTCTTAGAGGGGCAAATGGTTGTTCCTCAGTGGCATTGTACAATAAATTCTACTTAGGCATTTTGAATGAAAGGACTGATCTAAGATATGTATATCTGGCTACCAAACTCTGTGTACTTATTATGAATACCAGAAAGATAATTTCCTGCAGAAAGTGCAGGAGAAGAAGGAAGGGGGAAACAAATGAAGAAAACACTGAAATTTGACAATATATACTGCTGACGATTACATACATTTGTCAATTGTCTGAGATTTTGACACAAAAATTATACAATAAGTCTATGAACAGCTCTGTGTAGGCAATATTAGGCAAGGCAATATTGCAAATCAATGATAATTTTATGGCAACATTTTATATATTTGATTTTTGTATCAGTGCCCAGTATTTAAATTGCTGGACTAATCAGATAACAGACATTTCTGTGTAGTTATTTTGTCAGGAAATAGTTTCTCCTGTGCTTTTCCTACTCTAACATCAAAGTGTCGTCCATGAACAAGGTCTACTGTTCATAACTCTTTTCATTCTTTTAATGTGAATGAAGGAGGCTTTTCTGAGTCTGCATATCAATAATGTGTACACAGTGGGGTAGAAGCAGGTTAAAAGTGCCTTCATTTTTTGTTTTTGCCAAAGACAGCACTAGATGGAATTACAAATCTGGGCAGCACTCCCTCTGCTCCCCTTGAGCTCCATAAATGATAAACCAAGCTCATTAACCCAGTAATAGGCAAAACATCAATGTTAAAATCTGAAAAATCTTGAAATTGTAATATACACTGTAAAACTATGTAAAGGTATTGAAAAAGCTGAAATAAATGCACTGAATAGTGTTAAGTGTTGTATTATGTTATGTGAATGATGTTTGAATGAGAGTTGTAAGTGATTGAGGAAGGGTTAACAAATCCTACATTTTGCCTTCATTATTTATGTATGGAAAAGTAAAGTTATGGGTAATATGAAGGGTATGAATTAGAAAGATTATTAAATGAGCTCAACATTTAGTCCTTATGAGGAAAAATACTGATGCAGATGGTTTGAAAATTGCAAGTATCTTAAATTGTGGGAATTATTTGGTCAGCTTTGAATCTCAATTAGACTCGTTCCTTTATTTTTATTTTATATAATTGTTTATTACGTTTTTTTCTTTCTTTCTTTCTTTCTTTATTTATTCATTCATTCATTCATTCATTTTCTTTCTATTCTTATTATTGCTTGCTCTGTTGTTCCTGTTGTTTCAGCAGTTTTCCCTCTGAACGTCGTTTGTGCCTTTTTGTCTGTTATAAAGATTGTTAATAAAGTTAGACTCGTTCATGGTTAGAAGAAGAGAGTGGCGTTATTATGCTAACTGGCAGCCCCAGCTCGACAGGGGGCAGAGTGGTAAATCCTCTGCAGCATGGCGTCTCAGCCGCTCATCCTGTGACACGCTATTTACGGCGCATGCGCACGCCCGTTCTTCCTTTTTCCAGTGCAGCGGAGTCAAGCCCCAGTCTTTGGCTCCGGGCTCCTTCATAAGGAGACAAAAAGACTGCAAAATGGTTTGTAATTCGTCCCAATATGTACCTACGTGAATACCTAAGACATACATTTCGTGCCGTGTGGTGTCAGATGTTTAAAAACATGTTGCTGATGTTCAGATGAAGATAGATTCAGTCCAGCTAATGCTCACCAAGGGTCTGCTCAAACGTGGCCTAATGGCTACCTTCACAAACTCACTGCTTCCTGTTGTCTGTAGACTGCTTTAGTGTTATTGTTTTCATTAGCATGTGACCAGTGTGTCCCCAGGTTCACATCCCCCTGAATTTCCAATTTATACAGCTTTCCAGCAGCCTGTCTTGCTTATCGTCAACCCTGTGTAGCAGTTGTGCTAACTCCCGTCGTTCATTCCCTATGGCTCAAGCTTGCTGCTGTTAGCCTGGTCTAGCTTTACCATTTGACAGCACAAACTACTTACCACACAGCGAAAAGCAGTAAACTAACGTGGAGTTAGCTCTTGTTTCTCTCATTGTCAAGTCCCCGATGATGAGTGGATGCTTGTCTTGTTGCAGGGTTTTGTTAAAGTAGTGAAGAACAAGGCCTACTTCAAGAGGTACCAGGTCAAATTCAGGAGGAGGAGAGGTAAGACACCCCTGCGACTACATCCTACCTCCCCAAAGTTCAGGTTACATTGAGTATTATTTGTAAGTAATTAATGTGTGTGTGTGTGTGTGTGTGTGTTCTCCCCAGAGGGAAAGACTGACTTCTTTGCTCGCAAGCGCCTGGTCGTTCAAGATAAGAACAAGTACAACACACCCAAGTACCGGATGATTGTCCGTTTTTCTAACAGGGACATCATCTGCCAGGTGAGCGCACGC